GTTAGCAGAGGCTGCGCCTCCCCAAACAGCCAGGTGTGGCCTGGCCCCACCCCCTATCTGACCTCCCCTGCTTCTCCCCCCCGACGGTGCCCCCGGGATTCCTGCCCCATCCAACCCTCCATTCCCTGTCCCCTGACTGCCCCCAGAACCCCTGCCTTCTCTCCGCTGCCCCATCCAACCCCACCTCTCCTTCCTGACTGCCCCCCCAGGACCCCTGCCCCCATTCAACCCCCCTGTTCCCTGTCCTCTGACCGCCCTGACCCCTATCCACACCCCTGCCCCCAACCACCACCCCAAAATCCCCTGCCCTCTATCCAATCCCCCCTGCTCCCTGCCCCCCCTACCTGGAGCACCGGTGGCTGGCAGCGCTATAGCTCCGCCGCCCGGCTGGAGCCAGCTACACCACCGCACAGCACAGAGCACTGGATCAGGCTGGGCTCTGCAGCTGTGCTGCCCCAGGAGCTCACAGCCCCACCGCCCAGAGCATTGCACCAGCAGCGGAGCGAGCTGAGACTGCGGGGGAGGGGGAACAGCAGGGGAGGGGTTGGGGGCTAGCCTCCCGGGGCAGGAGCTCAGGGGCTGGGCAGGAGGTTCCCGCAGGCTGGAGGTGGCCCACGGGCCGTAGTTTGCCCACCTCTGATCTAGAAGTTGCCCAGTCTAATAGGGTTCAGAATCTAGACTGTGTGCTTATAATTTTCTTTTCTTTTGGTAACCACTCTGACTTTTTGACTATCACTTATAATCGCTTAAAATCCAACTTTTGTAATCAATAAACTTGTTTTACTGTTTATCTTTACCAGTGAGTTTGGCTGAAGTGTCTGGTAAATCTGCTCAGGTTTACAAAGGCTAGTCCTATGTCCACTTTCCATTGATGAAGTGGTGAACCAATTAAATTTGCACTGCTAGTCTTGAGCAGTGCACGACAGTATATTCCTGAGGTACAGTGCTGGGAGGTGGGGGGATTTGGCTGGTGCCTTTCTCAGTGTGATTCATGAGTGGCTCTGGGAGCATTCATGCAATCTAGCTGGGTGTGGGGCTTCACATGCAGTTGTGCTGAGTGATAGTGCCTGGAGGCTTTGTGAGAGACAGCCCAGGCTGGAGAGTTAAGGGTACAGCTGTCTCACAGTTCCAGGCTGCACCCCAGGGATCCTGTCACACCAGATGCCTCCAACCTCTCATAAGATCCCAGTTTCATGCCAGTGAAATTGGTATCATGCTATGGACATGCGTTTGCTAACAAGACTCAAACATGTGCATTGTTACTCACAGTCCAAAAATAATAAATGCAGATATTTACAGAGAAGCAGAAACAGAGCTCTAAACTCTGAGACCTTCATCTGGCAAATCAATAATCCAGATTAAATTGTGACCCTAATGTCTGAGAGGAAAATAGAAAATTGCCACATACACACACTAGCATAATAAGCAAATGTTAATTGATGTACTTTGATTGTGATAGTTCCTGGGAGATTTGCAATGAGCAAGGCTTTACTGTATGGGCAATTCCACAGCATATGCTGGAACATCTAGGAAGAGTCATCATTTCTAAGTACTTTCTACCATCTGCTAGAAAAACTGAAATATTGAAGGTTTTTTCCTCCACTTTCTCTCTGACTCCTCATATATACAACTGACTTCATTCTTGCCATTTATGACCCATTAATATTTTGTGTAGTTCTCTTTTATAAGAGTTGGTCTTTTATATATTTTATGCTACTGAATTATATTATAGTAATGGGTACAGAAAGAACAAAAGATAAATAACTTTCCAGACAGAGAGCCAGCCTCATGGATTCATTGACTTACACCCACGTTTTGTGCTGTAGTTCAACGATAGAAATTGCTGTTTACTGAAACAGATGTCAGTCATTTAACGTTTCCTCCTAAAGTCAGAGGCCTCCAGCTTTAGCTGTGCCTAATACCTACTGGGTGCAACTTTGGGCAGGGCATTTGTGGGTTCCCTCCTCACTCCTCTTGCCACCTGGGGACAATTTGATCCTTGGCATAGATCAGGAAAGCCCCACAGCTGCTCTAGACTAACCACAACTTTCAGTAGCTACAAAGGCCCATCCACCTTGATGGAGAACAGCTGTATTCTACTTATGCCCCATTCCCCCCTCCAACCCAATAACCACCCTGGTTCCTCTTTGTTGGGGGCTGCTGGGAGGATGGCACAGAAAGTGTCTATGCCACTGTGGACACCCTAACAGTGGGAGAAGATCCAGGTGCTTTCTAGTCCCTTCACACCACAGGAATGGCACAAAGGAACTGGCTTGGAGCTGAGGGTTATGGCCACAGACAGTTTCTGAACTAGCTTACATCACTCTCTAGCAACTCCCTTTGGTCATTACAAAGTCCAGCATTGATGGGTTCTAAGGGGAGTTAAGTCTAGGGCTAGGTCTACACTACCCGCCTGAATCGGCGGGTAGAAATCGACCTCTCAGGGATTGATTTATCGCGTCCCGTTGGGACGCGACAATCGATCCCCGAATCGACGCTCTTACTCCACCAGCGAAGGTGGGAGTAAGAGCCGTCGACGGGAAGCTGCGGAGGTCGATTTTGCCACCGTCCTTACAGCGGGGTAAGTCGGCTGCGATACGTCGAATTCAGCTACGCTATTCGCATAGCTGAATTTGCGTATCTTAAATCGACCCCCTCCTGTAGTGAAGTCGTAGCCTAGGTTTCCTATGCCAGAAGAGGGTTGTTGTAACTATACTGGGCCTTTCAGAAGGGAGACAGAGTTTGGTAAGGGGTCCATGAAGGACTTGGAAAAACTACCAAGGTGAACAAAAATATTTGTTTTGGTTTTAAAAACAGCAGATTACCACTTATCTTGTCACGTAGAAATCATCTTCAGGGAAAGGGTGAGTCACTGTCAGAGAGACTAATGTAATATGTTGACCGTAAAGCAAGAAGTTGCATATTAGTTCCTCTGTGAACATGGGGGATAATCTACAGTGCCTCTGTTTGCCACAGGGTTGAATCCAGAGACTTCCTTAATTTTTTCCATATACCCAAAAGAAATAAAAGGTGTGACTGACAGTGAACACATTCTCTATTCACTGGGGAAAGCAAGCTCCTGTGTAGTTGTTCCATGTTCACAGTTCTTCTACTGAGGAGAGACAAGGGTTCATAAAGTGTCAAAAAAAATGAAGTGCTATAGTATTTTTCCCATTTCTGTGTTAAAGAACAGCCAAAACAATTTTAATTACATTTGTACACAGGCAAATTTGATGGGAAATTGTATGCTGAGTCTGTGCATAGAATGAATATTTACAACGCAGTTATAAATGCTTGGGGAAAATAAAAACAAAACCAGGATTTATAATGGAAATGCTGTCACTACATAGTTATGGCTGTGTCACTAGCAGAAGCTGCTATAAAAAAATTTAAAGGTTTAGGAACTGAAGTAAAATGAAGTAACAAGTTGTACAGTTACTAACTCTTAATTGTTTAAATGTACCTACATAACGACATTAATAAATGTTACCCAAAAATCAGACTTCAGTAATGATAAGATGTATGATGGAATGAAGAAAGCTTTTTTTGTATCAATGTCAATCTGTTTACCATTAAAAGGCTTGAGAGGCATATAAAATGAAGTCTGACTGGTAAAGGGCTGCACATAACATTCAGTAAATAGTTTGTCATTGGTATTTTAAAACAGAATAGACAGGATGCAACATCCTATTTACTTTCAAGAACGAGCAATTATATTATGAACATAAAAAAGTGACTGATTATAACATTGTGTGACATTTTGAAGCTAACAGCTTCAATGGTTATAACCATAAGATTCTGATGAAGAAAAATATGCCTTATGGGCATCTCTAAGTTAAAACATCCTCAGAGAAGAAAAGTAATTAAAAACAGTCAAGGACCTCACCAAAACAAGATACCAGGAACAGAAACATGATACTAGTGGGTTTTGGTTTTTACTATTAAAATATAAAAAACTAAGAAGAAAAAAAAATTGTCATTCCCCTCCCAAAAACTGTGTCAAATTTGTATGCAGTATTTTTGTAGCTATGTCAGTCCCAGAACATTAGAGAGACAAGGAGAGTGAGGTAATATCTTTTATTGGACCAATTTCTGTTGGCAAGAGAAACAAGCTGGGCCAATAAAAGATATTACCTTACCCACCCTGTTTCTGTTCAGAGTTTCTAATTTACCTCTTGTATAGCTAATATCTTTCTGGATTGAGGGATAGTTTCAGACATTCAATCAAAACAGTGATATATATCAGCACAGCAGTATATTGTCATACAATGTCCCATTTAAATGGGAGGGACAAAGTTCAAAGTTTCTGAAACTGAGCGCACATATTTTTCATGTGTCTCTATCTGCATATATAAAACTAAATTAGCAATAATTAGAAATGAACATTTTACATGTGTATGTCATGTACTCAAATTCTGTTTTACTTTGTGTGCACAAAACTGCCTGTTTTCATGCTCTCAGGGGTGGGCATGCAAAACTGTACATGCAGTTTGAGGCCATATTTCAAACCATGTCCCTAAAAGTTTACAGAATGCCTGTTTGTAAGGTTGGAGAGTTATTGAAAATGCCTTCACAAGGCTCTGTAAAAAAGGTTTCTAATAGCAAAAAAAAAAAAAAGAAGAAGAAGAAGAAGAAGAAAAAAGATATAGAAAGGTGAGATTTAAACTGGTATAAAATGTATTAGCTTATTAAAACTGAGAAGTGCCTATTAATGTTTCCAAAGAGGAAAAAAATGCAGATATTCTTATTTTCATCATTTTGTTCTATAAATGTAAGCAAATAATCTATAGTATACCTCTTATTTCCCTTACCTCACCCCATATACTGACGCAAAGGAGAAGCACTGAATCAAAGTGAGCCATGGAAAACAGAAAAACACTACATGCCTTATTTATAATTCTCTCTGTAGATAGATTATATCCCAGATCATTTCTGCCATTACTTTGTTTCTAGTAGTTTATTATGGTAGGTTTAATTTTGTTTTTCTTTTCATTCAACAGGCTGAGGCAAATGGTCCAGCAAATCCTTTTATTAGTTCAAGTGCAAATGCTCCATCATCTCCCAGGACCTTAACCTCCTGCCAGTATGTGGGCTGGAGAGTTGCCAGTGTACTCTCCCAGGTCTACTTACCACCCATTGGTCCCAACATCCCTCTGCCAAGCAAACCTAAACAGAAGCTATCTCCTATGCAGTATCAGCACTCAGAGCAGTGTGATGTGGAGAAAAAAACTGCATGTTCTTCTCTAAGGTATTTGTTTCCTACATATAAACCTCTGTCCCTTCCTCCCCTTCACACACTCCATTTATTCTTCTGTTTATAAGGGAGATATATAGTTCCAAAGTTAATGACATTTATATTTAATATTTTTACAACACTCCCTAATCCCCTGAATTCAGCATCTGAAAAGGTTCAGCAAAATATATTTGGAGTAAAATTAGTCCGGATCACGTCTAATTTTTATGTTGAAAGGCTTGTATGCTTTGCATTGGAGTTGCTTGGCTGTATGTCATCTCAGCCTCGTGCATTATCAAGTTTAAAAATAAGGTCTTTTAAAAAAGGAAACATTTTGCACACCTAAGTCATACAATTAAAGACTTTCTGAATTTATTTTAAGAACATGACAATGGCCATACTGCGTCAGACCAAAGGTCCATCTAGCCAAGTGTCCTGTCTTCCCACAGTGGCCAATACCAGGTGCCCCAGAGGGAATGAACAGAACAAGTAATCAAGTGATCCATCCCGTCACCCATTCTGGTAAACAGAGGCTAAGGACACCATCCCTGTCCATCCTCGCTAATAGCCATTGATGGACCTATCCTCCATGAACTTATCTAGTTCTTTTTTGATCCCTGTTATAGTCTTGGCCTTCAGAACATCGTCTGGTAAGGAGTTCCACAGATGGAAGTATTTCTTCACAAAATGCAGTCAATTTGTTCGTTTTAAACCTGCTTCCTATTAATTTCATTTGGTGACCCCTAGTTCTTGTATTATGAGAAGGAGTAATTAACACTTCCTTATTTACTTTCTCCACATCAGTCATGATTTTATAGACTTCAATCGTATCCCCCCTTACTCATGTCTTTTCCAAGTTGAAAAGTCCCAGTCTTATTAACTTCTCATACGGAAGCCATTCCATACCCCTCATCATTTTTGTTGCCCTTTTTCTGTACCTTTTCCAATTCCCATATATCTTTTTTGAGATGGGGCAACCACATCTGGATGCAGTATTCAAGATGTGGGGGTACCATGGATTTATATAGAGGCAATATGATATTTTCTATCTTATCTATCCCCTTCTTAATGATTCCCAATATTGTTAGTTTTTTTGACTGCCGCTGCACATTGAATGGATGGTTTTGGAGAACTAACCCCAATGACTCCAAGATCTCTTTCTTGAGTGGTAACAGCTAATTTAGACCCCATCATTTTATTATTTCTGAAAATCTAAATACTGTATATCCACTGGATCCTCCTTGTCCACATGCTTGTTGACCCCCCTCAAAGAATTCTAGGAGACTTGTGAGGCATGATTTCCCTTTACAAAAAACATGTTGACTCTTCCCCAACAAATTATATTCATCTATGTGTCTGACAAGTTTGTTCTTTACTATGGTTTCAACCAGTTTTCCCGGTACTGAAGTCAGGTTTACTGGCCTGTAATTGCCAGGATCACTTCTGGAGCCCTTTTTAAAAATTGGCGTCACATTAGCTATCTTCCAGTCATTTGGTACAGAAGATGATTTAAATGATAGGTTACAGATGACAGTTAGTAGTTCTGCCATTTCACATTTGAGTTCCTTCAGAACTCTTGGGTAAATGCCATCTCATCCTGGTGACTTATTACTGTTTAGTTTATCAATTTGTTCCAAAACCTCCTCTAATGATACCTCAATCTGGGACAGTTCCTCAGATTTGTCACCTAAAAAGAATGGCTCAGGGTTGGGAATCTCCCTCACATCCTCAGCCGTGAAGACCGATACAAAGAATTCATTTAGTTTCTCTGGAACAGCCTATCGTCCTTGAGTGGTCCTTTAGCATCTTGATCATTCAGTGGCCCCACTGGTTGTTTAGCAGTCTTCCTGCTTCTAATGTACTTAAAACATTTTTTTGCTATTACTTTTTGAGGGACAAAGTTCCTTTTGAATTAGGTGATATAGCAACCCAGTTTTCAGGAAGGTATCCAATAATCAAAGTAAAACAAGATCATTCAGGACTGTACACTGATTTAAATGAACTCTTTTTGGCCCAGTCCTGTCATCCTGCCACATATTTTGAAAGTAACGCCAAGGATCTCAGTTATATTAGTAAACATGTATTTTATTCCAGGAGGAAATGAATTGTCCAGCCACAAATTTAAAAGATTCAGTGCATGGGCAAAATTCCAATATTTTACTACTAATCCTGGTACAAAAAGAGAGTTACAAAAATTAACATCAAATGTCTCAGTTGTATATATGGTAGTGTGTGTGAAAGGACTGCAGGCCCCTAAAGACTTAAGCCTTGTATGCATATGGCTTTTTTGGTCTTGCATGCAGTTTGGTTCTTAATTCCTCTCCTGCCCCCAGAAAATGTGATTCTCAGTGCACATGTACAGTGCATAAATAGGTATGAAATTACCAGATCTGTGCACAATTTCATGCATAAATGGCAAAGAGGGAGTGAGGGGGAGGGAGAGAACAAACCATGTTTAGAGGTTAGTTTGAAGATTTGACCCAATATGATCATATATATGATATATATCATAATTTTCTTTACTTGTTTGTGCTGTACAGATTTTTTTCTGTGCCATACTCCATTTCTCATTTTATCTTTGAATTGCTATAGTGTGTTAGGTTAGTTAATATTTGTATAGCCCCTTGAAGGTGAAAGGCATTATATAATTGCTATTATGTAATTAAGAAGTCACTTTCACTTAGAACAACTTAGCGTTAAAATAGAAAGCATGTCCAAGGTCAGCATGAAACATCACTTTCTAACTCGGAGGAATTAAATATCTATACAACTTCACTTCAGACTAGCATAGTAAAGGTCATACTCTAATATGACTAAAGGATATTTAAAAAAAAAAAAAAAGTTCTTTCAGCTACAAATAATCCTGACAAGCTAGGCTGTTTGAAGGATGGTACATTCTTAGAAACCAACGCATAGCAATGGTGAAAATATCCTCAGATGAGACAGCTACATATAAACATGCAACAGCTTCTGGCAATAAATAAAGCATGACTTTTTCCACATGTATCAAAGGCAAAATGTGTCAGATGTGAATTGAAGTATGACTACTGTCTGTTGCCTAAAGAAGAAGGAATATAATCCAGAAATTCTTGATACTAGTTTTTAAGTCATGCACTGCTGATTCAAGATCCAGAAAATAATTCATAACGATTACAGTAATTCAGGTCCTGAAAGCAATATGTAGCCTGGTAGGCTCACTAAACAGAGACAAGTTTGTGGAAATGGATTTTCAGACCCTCATGACCTAGATTTGCAGTGTTCTGGTAGCCAATAATATCCCTAGTAAAAGTGCTTGAACCTTCTCTTTGAAGCCTAAAACTGTGTAATGCTCAACATGTGCAAGTTAAATTAGGCCTCTGTCAACTTTTGCCTACAGCCCTCTTCAACGATCTGCTCATTTTGGCTGGCACCCTCAGCCACCACCCTTCTCAACTCAAGCAAATGGGCCTCAGAGCTGCTCTAAGTTGTGCCTGTCTGCAACATCCCTCCCACCCTTTCAGGCACTCAGGGATCACTGGAGCACAGTGATGCTCTCGCTATGCCCCTTTTCTCCCAGACATGCTCTGACATATCCCCTCCATCTGGCACCAGGCCATGGGGTGGCCACTTGGGGATTCTCCTAGTGTAAGGGGAGTATCCGTGTAGCCAGTGATGTAAAGGAGCTGGGAGGGAGAGTCAGGGGCAAGAGAAGCCAATGGAGCCATGCCAGCTTACACCAGCTGAAGATCTGGGCCAATATTCTTACTGTAATAGGAACTCCATGTCCAACTCAATACAACCAACCGATTTAAAAATATTCTTTTCAGCTGCTTCAAAATATCATGCATGGGAGAACCCAAGGGAAAGGAAATTACTGATATGAAATGAGATGGGATTGCAGCACCTTCATGGCCTGTGACCTGCCTCTCAGTGAAGTGAAAGGCAGGTTAATTACTGATTTAAAAACAAAAAACAAACCAACCAACACCCACACTGAGTCATGCCACAGCCTAAGTACAGCATCAGGGCTCTGACAAAAAGAGTGATAAACTACGATGCATCTCACATACTGCAAAATGCTAGAAACCTAATTGCCGAGACATGTCATACTTGATTTTCCATTGTATCTGAGAACCAGTTGGAACTCTTTGATCGTCAGTCATCCAGCCCTGGTGTAAGAAAGCAGCAGGTTAACTACTCTACCACACCCCCACTTCCTTGCCATTCTGGCTCTTCCCCACACCAATACACTGCTTCCCTCTCCTTATACTGGAGCCACATCCACCAGCCTCCCACCAGTGCGGAGTTCCTCTGTGAAGAAAGAAATCTCCATTAGCTATCTCTGGCCACTTTGCCCTGCTTACACAGTGACATTAGCAGACCAGAGGAAGCAGGCCCGTAGTTATTTCCTTTCTCATACCTACCCAATATCTACTCTATCTAGAAAGAAGGGTGAATGTATATTGTCAATCCTGGTTATGCATCAGAGTGTTCGTCTAGACTTTGCCGATGTGGTTTGCAGTCTTCTTAATCATTCTGGGTCTTTCACTGCTTTTAGATTCTCAGGTGACAGCTGGGCAATGTAAGTGCACTTTTCATCTATGGTTATCCTTGTGTGCTGCTGTTCCTCCTCAACAAGACCTCCTCACAGAGGTCTATGTCTTTGTAACATCAAGGCTAGAGTACTACCATACACTCTGCTTAGAGCTACCCTTGAAAAGGACTCAAACTCATACAGCTACTCCCCTGAAGTGTAACAAACATTTGAGGGTATAATACTAGCCCTCAGTGATCTGTGCTAGTAGCAGGTGGCGGTGTCAGTTAAAACCAAAGTGATCTGTAACCCAGCTATCTGAGATACTATCTCTTCACCAATATCCCACTTTGGGAGTAAGGATCTGCCAGATCACTCTCACAGCCAGTTCCAGTCAGAGCATTCTGAAGGACCTACTCAGGCTGGCAGTCTATCTGAACCTGCTTGGCAAGCATCAGGGAACAGCACAAGCTCTTTTTTTAGCCAGGCTTTTCATTGAACT